GGTGCTCCGTAAGAGCTTGTGCGCGTCGCTGCCGACGCATCTCGCGTGTTGGTGTGTTTGTATTTCGGCGGGGTCGGCGCCGCGCGCGCATTATAAGATCATTGAGGCAACACACACACGTACACGTCCTTGAGCGCCCGAGGACACGAACCATCCTCCTCGCCCTCCACCTCCTCGCATTGGCCCTCGCCCTCCTCCTCCTCGGCGCCTTCCTCCTCGTCGCCTTCTTCCTCATCATCGTCCTCTTCCTCGTCGTCCTCTTCCTCCTCCTCGTCCCCTTCTCCTCGTCCTCATCTTCAACGCATTGCGACTCCGCATACCGACAAACCAGCTCAGGCTTTCGGCCCTGCTCGTCCAGGCCAAGCCCACGCAGCATCGTTCTGAGCTCGGCGACGCGCCCACGCTTATGTCCACGCTTATGTCTCCTCAAGGGAGCTGCTGCCGCCGGGCAGGCGGGACGCCGCTGGCGGCACTCCCGAGGTCGCGGCGCGCGGCATCCCCAGGCTCGCGAGGTGCAGCGACGGTGCGAGGCCCGTCGCCGCCGCCGCGCAGGCGATCAGCGCGCCGATTGCCGCCATCCCGCGCGCCGCAGGGGGCCCGGGGCGGCCCGGGGCGGACGCGGTGCGCCAGCTGTAAGCCGGCCGTCCCCAGCTGTAAGCCGGCTTGTGATTCCCGGGAAAAACTCGCCGGCGGCCACAACTCGAAAAACCCGACGGCCCCCTGGTCTGCCACATAATGCAAGACATAATGCAAGACAAGGGCCCTCCATCCGTCGAGCTGAGTAGCTCGTCCTCAACAGATAGCATGTGCCCCTTGCCGCACGAGCTGCGTCACGAGCACCCTCTCTCCTCCGAGTCGGTCGGTCTGTCCTTCTCCCCTTCAGCCCATTCCGCCGAGGCGACCAGCGCAGCTGGCTCTCGACGGAGGAGCAAGCAGCCTGTCGAGCCTCAGCTAGATCAGCTACGCCGCCGCCTCCGTCCCGCCGAGGGCGTGCTCGGGCTTCAGGCGCGAGTGGCGGCGCTCGAGTGCGAACTGGTGGAGTCTAGAGCTCGGGAGGAGGCGCTCGCGCGACGACTGGCGGCGCTCGAGGGTATGCCGTCTGCCGTGCGCGAGGCGGCTCAGGACGGCGACGGCGACGCGCTGCAGGACTGGCTCGACGGCGGAGGGCGGGTCAACGCGACGGTCCAGGTTGGGTGGCCGAGTCCCCTGCGCGGCGTGACTCTGTTGATGATCGCGTCTATTCATGGACACGAGCGGGTGGTGAGCATGCTGCTGCGGCGCGGCGCGCAGCCCAACAAACAGGACGAGAAGGGCGGCACGGCTCTGATGGCCGCCGCGTACCGCAATCATCCCGGTGTCGTGCGGCTGCTGCTCGAGCACAGCGCAGACGCGTCCCTACAGGACGCTAATCAGCGCAGAGCGCTGGAGTGGGCCGAGGCGGCGGGGCACGAGGAGTGCGCCCACTGCCTCCGGGAGCACGCCGCCGTCCAGAGCCCGCTTGGGACCGACGGCAGCCGGGGGAGGAGGTGGCGGAGCAGGCCGAGCCGGACGTGTGAGACAGAGCCAGCGGTCGCTTCTTCCTCGCCCGACTCGCCAGCCCCGGCGGCGGCGGCGGTGGGACCAGCAGCGGCATCCACAGCCGGTGTCACGCCGTCGCAGCGCTTCTGGTGGCAGCGGGCGATGGTGTGGCTCTCAGTGGAGGTGATCGCAGATCGTACCATTAGACCATCACCACCACCAGCCACGACGTAGCGGCCGGGCGGTGTGTCCACCTTCTCCTCTTCCCTCTTGTTGTCTAATAGTCGCCCACGAGACACGCGTGCGAACGGCAGACTGAAAGAGAGCAACTTGTTTCTCTCTACCCCACTACTGTCTACTCCACTACTGTGTACTGTCTACTGACTCTCGTGACTCTGTTCGATATTGCATATTGAACTCGGCAGTACTGTACGTAAAGCCGTAGTCTGTGAACTGTGTGATCGTAAAGAGTAAGCCGGATGAAGATTCTGCCCCACACAGCCCCTTACCCCTTCACCCTCGCCTCGCTGCTTGGTGTTTCTGAACATGTAGTCGTCCACGCTGTGGGGGTTGTGTGCGGGAGTTGTGTCTTGGAGGGAGGGAGGAGTGGAGTGGATTGCAGGGGTTGCTCAACCCATCACCCACGGCACCGGGCCGGTGCTCTTGCACTTTGAATGCCTTGGGGCTCCTGCCCGTGTCCGGGCGTGGAGATGCGAGGGTCGCCCCCCCTTGCCCCACCACTTTGTGTGTGTGGAGTAAATTTTCCTTACCTTACCTTACCTCAACTCGGCGGGCAGGGTATCGACGCGAACGCTCCAAAGCCGCAGAAGCGGCAGCTCGGCTTGCCGCCCGCTTGGCAGCCGGCCGCGCCCGTGCCGTCTGCACAAGTCGGGTCGTAATAGCAGGGCTCGCTGCACTGACCGCAATAGCACGGGCGACACTCGGCGGTGTATCGAAGGCCCGTGAGGGGCGGGGGCGGCATGTACGGCAGCGGCAGCGGCGGGTGCGGTGGGGGCGGCGGGGGCGCGCGCACGGCCACCGTCGCCGCCGCAAACGAGGCCGCCCCCGCCGTCGGCGCCGTGATCGCCGGCGCGATCAGAGCCGCCCCCGCATCGAGGATGCCCGAGGCGATGGAGGGAGGGCAGCAAGTGTACTTGCCTCCCCTCCACCCGTAGCAAGTGGCGGCCGCGCCCACAAGGCGGACCGGCACGAACCCGCCCGCGCAGCGCGCCGCCTCGCGCGCTTCCAGCGGAGCACAGCAGTCGCTTCCGGATGACTCGCACAGCGAGCTGTCGCACTCTGCCGGGGGGGGCGCCGCCGCGGCCGCGACGGCGCCAGCACTCGGCGGTGGCGGCGGCTTGGCGCAGCGCGCCGCGACGGCGCCGTCTGCGCACGAGACGGGGCACGCGCGCACGAGGCGCGCGACGCGGGCCGTCGAGTGGAGTCCGTAACCACCTACCCTCGAGGTGCACCCCGGGTGGGATCTCGGCGAATCTCGGTGTCGATCTCGGTGCATCTCGCACCGCTCGTCGGATCTCTGTCTGTCCCCACCGCTGAGCCCTGTGACACGTGTGCGGTCTCTCAACCAGTCGAGTCTCGTGCGTCTCTGGTCAGTGAGTCGCTCCAGTGTGCCGCCATCTCCTGTCCGATCTGAGAACTGAGGCTGCGCTGCTGCTGCTCTTGCGCATCTAGGCTGGGCGGCGCCGAGGCGGCAGCGGTGGCCTCTCCACTCCCGACACGCGTACAGGTCAAAGTAGGCGGGGTCGTCGTCGCAGCGAGGCGACACCCAGTCAGCAGAGACCCACGACCGCGACACCATGTCAAAGAATCTTGGCGCCAGCGGCTGCGCGGGCGGCGGCGGCGGTGGCGGCGAGCGGCGGCGCCCCGACACATTAGACACAACGTCGACGCCCGGTCCGGCGCGCCAGGAGGGCTCGGAGAGAGCACGCGGCGGCGGCGGCGGCGGCGGCGGCGGCGTGGGCGGTGGCGCCCGCGCGGGCGGCGGCGGCGGCGGCGGGAGGCGTCTGTCCGGTTCTCTTGCGGTGGAGGACCAGATCAGGTCGTTGTCGTGGTTGCAGCCGGTGAGGCTCGCGCAGCCGTCGAGCAGCTCGCGCGACGAGCAGAGCCGGCCTGCGGGAAGAGACCCATAAACATACGCTGTGAGAGTGGCTTCGCTCTGTGTCACGAAACAATCTCGGGCGATCTCGGCTGATATCGAATCATCTCGGCTGATCTCGAGTCATCTCGGCTGATCTCGAGTCATCTCGCCTCCGGCGGCCGCGCAGATCGCCGCCGCCTGGAAGAAGCTGCGGTAAACGTGGCAACCGCCCATGCGAGTGCCGTCCGACTCCGCCCAGACCGCGCAGCCCGGGTGGCGCTGCCAGCCGGGCACGCTGACAGCGGAGCAGCACCGCACCGAGTGCCTAATCTCGGAGAATCTCGGGTAAGCTCGGGCCATCTCGTGTGCTCTCGGATCATCTCGGGTGTGGCTGCCTCTCGCTTGGCAGCGCCCAGTGCGGCCGCGCCTTTGCGCAGTAGCCGGGACGCCTGCGTCACGAGCACACGCAAGTAAACATCGCAGGTACGGACCTGCACCCTCCGCATCTAGGCTCCGAGATACGGGGAGATTTAGAGAGATACGGGTCTGCTATGGGCTGCACTCTCTGCGCCAGGCGCGCCCGCACTCGACGTAGCGCAGCTGTTGCAAGTCCGGCGGCGGGGCCACACCTCCAGGAGGAGGCGGCGGCGGCGAAGGCTCTGGCGGCAGC